TTTTTTTTTTTTTTTTTTTTTTTTTTTTTTTTTTTTTTTTTTTTTTTTTCTCTCAATTACGTATAGCTGTTGTTTTTCAAACTTTCAGTCCTTCAGTTGCTGATGCTACAGCCATCTGTCACCTACACGGAAGCCGAACCTCCGACCCTGAAGTCACTGGTTACCGATCCTTACATCATCCTCGCTGCAGGTATATTGTATTATTTAGCCCCGCAAAATATTACAATTCACCATGTGTATAATAACACATGCAATTAGGTGCAATAACATTCGCCAACATGGGAATCGCGATGCTGGAGCCGAGTCTGCCGATCTGGATGATGGACACGATGAGCGCGAGCAGGTGGAAACAGGGCGCAACGTTTTTACCAGCTAGCATAAGCTATCTCATTGGCACGAATCTTTTCGGGCCCTTGGGACACAAGATGGGAAGGTACAACGATCATGTGGTCCCTATCCTTATGATCGCTATTAATGTCACTTTGCGTTGTTTCCAGATGGCTGGCCGCCCTCATCGGTCTCATCGTCATCGGCATCTGTTTGATGTGTGTAAGTTGACGATCAGTATATATGTATATGTACCAATATTTTTCTTTTTCCCTCTTGAAGCTATGGTTTTAAAATTGATGCGTCGAATGCAGATACCCCTGGCGAAGAGCATCGACGATCTGATAATACCAAACGCCGGTCTGGGCTTCGCCATAGGCATGGTGGACAGTTCTATGATGCCCGAGCTCGGTTACCTCGTCGACATAAGGCACTCGGCGGTTTACGGCAGCGTCTACGCGATCGGCGACGTTGCTTTTTGCCTTGGCTTTGCCATCGGTACGCATATATATATATATACCTACGCGTTCCTACAATTTTATTATTTTATTTCAATACGTCAATGTCGCGAATGATGTATAGATTATAATATTTTACCGATTTTCGGTTCAGGACCGGCGTTGAGTGGGACTCTGGTTAACACCATAGGTTTCGAGTGGATGCTCTTTGGAATAGCTATTTTGAATTTCATTTACGCGCCGTTCATGTACTTTTTGAAGGCCCCGCCGACAAAGGAGGAGAAAAAGGTACGATAAGTATTCCAACGGATCGATAAAATCTACATCGAGTAGACATATCTTTGGGATCGATCTTGTTTTTTTTTATTAATTATATATTTTGTTCTTTTTACAGTCGTTGATCGTAGGGGACAAGTCGTCGGTTCGTTACGTGAGCTACGAGAACGAAGAGGATGAGCACGAGTAAATCTGTTTGTTTGCATCGGTACGTCTGCCAGTACATATTTGAACGAGTCTTGTTTTTACATTTCTTTTTTTTTTTTTTTTTTTTTTTGTCATTTATGCATATTTTATACATACCCAACTACTATCCGTACTCCTTGCGAGTGGGCGCACTTTTGGGCATCTTCGTTGCAATATCCATACAGATCCTCATTGGAAATTCTTACAGATTTTGGTGCAAGTGTATTATATGTATATGTTATAATAGATTAACGTCCTGGCAGACAATGTCTGGTTACGAATACTATCGAGGGATCGGCTGTGTGGGTCATGTGTACGCTCATCTCGTAACTTTGTTTTGTTGAAAGAGAAAGTTTTACCGAACGTTGATTATGAGATGATACTCTTACAGATTTTTAATTAGTTGTAAGTATCCGATAAACTGATGCCAAAAAAATAATACTTATTGCCAGCTCATTTTCAACAAACATTAAGTATATTTAACTATTTTTTTTCGAATCTATAAGTAAGTATATAAATGTTTTTTTTTTTTTTTTTTTTTTTTTTTGTTTTTGTTTATTCCTTTCCATCTCGAAGTAGCAACTGTGGATAACAATGTATGTTTGATTTTTTGGAATCTCCATTAAACACCCTTGGAGTATTAAAACTATTTTACTCGTTTTACAAACTCGGTGTTACCTGTACGCTTACGTTATTGATGAAACTTACTTACGATGAATATAATTATAGTAAATAAACAAGTTTTGCTCTAAAGCAGCGTTGTGTGGGAGTAAAGTAAATTCATGAATAATAGGAGAAAAAAAAAAAACATTTAGGAGAGATCGCGAACTGTAGGAAATTTGTTTTGGTCTTACAAAAGTACCATTGACCATGTAGAATACACTCAACTAAATATGTGTTATTGTATATACACATAAGATGTACACATTGTTCGAAATTATATACCTGGCATATCGCAATGCAAAATGTCCGCTTATGTGGAGGCCAAACTGATGATGAACACGACTCGCTTAAATCACGTATTTTGTAGTTTTTCAAGTAGGTACCTCGTTGTAGGTGCTTTGCTTGAAAAATGTACAAAAATCGAGGTTTCAGCGATTAAAGTATTAAACTGCGAGTATCAAGTCAAGAAAATCAAGTTCTGAAAAAAGGCACCATTATTGGTACTACCTCTACCAATACAAAAAGAAAAAAAAAATCACAGAAAAACCGTGCTATAGAGACAACTAAAAAAAAAAAAAAAAAAAATTGATGGTTCATCAGAGCTGTTAAAAAAGCTATCCCGATTTCTGACAAATTTTCAGGAGAGTCGCATTTTTCATTTTTAACTTCGAAATTCGTTTATTGGAGAACCGCCCGGTTTGAGTTCCTTGAATGGCTGCAGGGAAAACGAGCGTTAAAGCGACCGGGAAGGCATGAAGGTGTTCTCGCTCATCGGATCTGATTGCGTTACTTAAAATTTGAACAAATGTATGCATTAATGGCGACTCCTCCACTTTTCAACCGATCAAGACCTTAAAAAAATAAAATAAAACAAATTAAATAGTCTGAAACATCCGTACGCATGAGTTTCGAAATTGGGTGTTGTTAAAACGTATATATGTACTCGTTCGAATAATAATCGATTAAAAAATAATAATTCATGTGTATTGAAAATTATATTTCGATGAGGGTGCGGTCGGATGTTTCCGATATGGACTTGGAATAAAAGATATAAAACAGATATTTATTTATCTCGGAGCGTATGACGAATCAACAATGATCCTGAGAAACTTAAAATAGAGGATTTGCAGCGGGAAACTCTAGGGCTGGACTTTTGGGAAAAAGAAAGTAAAAAAAAATTATAAAAATGTCTCTCGCGCTAAATTCGTAGAAGCAATACTCGAGTTGTAGAAAATTAAAGTAGAAGCAAAATACTCAATATAATTACAAGAAAGTTTGATGCGTGTTTAAAAAATATATAAAAAAATCAAAAAAAAATTACATGTGTCGTTGTTTATCTGTAGTTGAAGAAAAAAAAAAAAAAAATTCTGTCGTGTATTTATTCTGACAAAGTGTTAGGTATAGGAATGTGTCTCGACGTGAAAGTTTGCAATAATTTTTTTCGCGTTTCGTTCATTCAGATCCTGAGCTACTGTGACAGTCGTATAACGTGTGCTTTACTTCGTATTATACATGTATATGTATGTATGTATACTTACTCAAAAAAACTAGATTATAAGAGCAACTATCGTAGTACTTTGCTTACCATTAATTTTACCGTTCAGTACTGCAACGAGAGACAAAAAAAAAAAAAAAAATTAAGATCAACAAAACACCATTGAAATCCAAAAGGGAATAACAATTTCGAATGAAAAATAAAAGAAAAAGTATGGAAAAAAAAGAAACTACAGCGTTCCGTTGCAAATCCATTGAAAAAAATAGGAGCGTGACAAGGCGCGCCTACTCCCGGAACGATAAGTGAGTCAATTCGATCATCGCTGGTTCGTCAAACGATACCGAGACGGAGACAAAACCAAACAAACAAACGACGAATACTTACTCTTGTAGGTAAACGAACGACAAGAAACGAAAAAAAAACACGAAACTCGGAGCCGGTAGTTGTACGGAGTGAAACCTGCGTAAGGTTTGAAAGATGAAACATATTATATGTGTGTCGCTTGAAAATCACACGAGAGAAGAAATCAAATTACTGTAACCATCGTGTTTTTCTCTCGAATTGTGCAAATGTAACAAATTTAACATTAATTATCAAAAATAATTGAAGGTTTTTTTTTTCTTCATTACTATTCGAATGGATTTGAAAAAATTGTAAACAAAAAAAGAAAAAAAATACTTTACTTCAATATATTGACTATTTAACCGTGGATGTAAGCTATTTACAATTTATTTTTTAAGTTCCGATCATACATAGAGTGCGATCTCGATCGGAGTGACCGAGTGTCTGTGTGAGTATCGTATAGGGATGATATTAATAAAATAATAAAAGAGATAATAATTACGTATATAGTTGTTGCGCTCGGAAACGAATATAGTAAAACGCGTATGTTAAGGCTTGAAAAATCGAATTTCCAAATCAATCAGTCGATGAAATTTCATGAAACGTAAATTTGTCGACAGCGAAGTCGGCGAATCTTCGACCGGAATACAACGAAATATCATTTTATTTTAGCTGTAAATTTTGTAACTTTTACCATATAATATCTACATGTGTAAAACCGTAACGATTGACAAATTGTTATCATTTTTAAAATCATTTTGCATTTGGTAACAACAAAAAAAAAAAGATAAATGAAACTATCGATTTTTAAAAGCAATATAAAGCAAAAAATATGCGTGAATCGCAAAAATGTTAAATGGATTATTCAATAATGCCTGTAAAAACTGTATTATTATATAACAATAATTTGCTGTTATCGTTAACAAAGACACAAAAGTAATTGAAACCAAAAAATGTTATTGTTGGTGTGGTGACGATGATTCAGCTTGTTTTTGTTTCCATATTTTTTATATTTTGAAGGATTTTTGTAAACTGATTCGAAGAAAATTAGTGACTCGATGAGGGCTGCCATTGTGAACAGAGACAATAAGCAATGAATCACACAAAAAAAAACCCCCGCTTACTCTTAAAAAAACAAGACTTACCATAATGTGTACAGAGGTATACTGTACTGTTAAAAAAAAAAAAAAAAAAAAAAAAAAAAAGTTATATGTAGATATATTTATGTGTACTTGTAAGAATCAATTCAAGACAATAATAATACCTGAATTTGGTCTTTGAAGAGAGGAAAGCAGAAAAAAATTACAAATCAACTTGGATGAGAAATTTTTAAAAGTTGAGCCGCAAATACTGAAGTATTCGACGTCAAGTATAGTTGTTGTAAAATGATAATACGATACAGCTGGTGTATGGGTCCGATAAAAATGTACTTTATCATCGTTAATAAATAATTTGTATGAGGGAACAAATAACGAAGATACGAGTTTAAACAAATTTATTCCGACTTCGAGTTTCGTAAAGATCAGTGAGTTGACGTAATTTGACACGAGCAGGTTGATGGGATGATTTATTGTATAAGAGAATAAAACAAACAAAAGTACCGAGTTAATAGATGAATGAGGAATCTGCAACGACGGAGAACAAAATGTACAGCTTACATAAGCAAACAAATTTCAATCGAATTTACTTAGTGTACATGTAAAAGTGTGTGTACAATTCAAATAAAGTTCATTTACTCCTCAAGTCAGTAGATTATAATAAATTGGGTTCTGAATTTCCATCTGCAATGCATGTTACATACATACATTAATTTATTTGTTATTATTATTTTTTTTTTTTTTCGAATATTCAGGAAAAAAAAAAACCAAAAAAATAAATAAAAATATCGTCAATAGCCGTACCGATGGCGGTTTAAAAAAAAAAAAAACAGAAAAAACGTACACGAGTTAACGTTAACAATGAGACTCGCCAATAAATTAATTTACAAAAAACCACTATTAAAACCAGTGACAGGTAAGCCTGAAAATAATAAAAAAA